AAGATTTGTAGTGCAAAAGAGCTTATTCAGACTGATTAAAGTGACTGTGTGTGTGTGTATTTGGGAGGGGGAGTGGGAGAGTCCATCAGAGGGTCAGAGTTCAGTGGTGCGTGGGGCAAAAGAGGGGAGGGGGGGCATGGTCGGGAGGGAGTTCAGCAAACTGGAAGGGGTGGAGGGCAGACTTGATATGGTGCATGTCTAGCCGTTCAAAGCACTTCATGAGGATGGGGGTAAGTGCAACTGGATGGTAGTCATTGAAGCAGGATGGAGACGGCTTCTTCGGGACTGGAATGATGGTGGTAGCTTTGAAGCATGTGGGGACAACAGCCTGACTTAGCGAGATGTTGAAAATGTCTGTGAAGACATCGGTGAGTTCCATTGCACAGTCTCTCAGTACACGCCCAGGAATGTTGTCAGGACCCGGAGTTTTGCGTGCGTTGATCCTGCTGAGGGATCTCCTCACGCTGTCCGAGGACAGCGTCATCACCTGGTCGCCGGGAGGAGGTGGAGTCTTCTGTGCAGTGGTGCTGTTTTGTGCCTCAAAGCGAGCGAAGAAGACGTTCAGCTCGTTCAGCAGGGAGATGGTGCTGTCACAGGTGCGTGGTGGGGGCTCGTAGTCCGTAATGGTCTGTATCCCCTGCCACAGGCTCCGAGTGTCTCTGCTGTGACTGAAACGATGGGCTATCCTCCTGGAGTACTGACTTGTTGCCTTCCTGATGCCACAGGAAAGGTTGGCCCTAGCTGTCTTCAAGCCCACCTCATCTCCAGCTCTGAAGGCAGCGTTCCGCGTCTTCAGGAGTCCGTAGACATAAACACAAAGCCCGCCGCCGCGGGTCTTGCCTCCCTCGACACGAGCTCTGTCCGCTCGATAGCATGTCAGCTGATCGAGATGAATAGCGCAGTCCGGAACGCTGTTGTTGAGCCATGTTTCCGTGAACACAAAAACACAACAGTCTCTTACAGTCCTCTGAGTTGAGCGTAGTAGTCGGATGTAGTCCAGTTTATTGTCCAAAGAGCGTACGTAAAGGTAAATTGTGAAAAATAATGTTTTTTTTTTTTAAACTAAGCATTAACACATGTTAGACTGCACCCCATAAACACAATCAAGCCTAGAAAAAAAACAGTGAACCACCCCTTTAATTATTGGACTTCGTTTTGTACAGAGAGGTAAATTTGCAGACGGTCCCTAAAGCAGCCTAGGCGAATATCCAGCGAATATCAAACCTAAAACTAACTTTACCACGCTTAGCAAACTCTTTGAAAAAAGCGATTTTTTTGCAAACATTTCTTTGAGTAACATGACCTTAAATATGACCTCAGGATTGAATGTAACATAAAACAAATTATTACTTTTCTTCAAAATCTTTATTAATGCCAAAAATGCTTACATTTATGTGTCTTTTTGTTCGCTTGGTCAGCCATGTTGGCACTGTAGACGGTTTATGAGATAGTCAATAAATAAGATAGTCTTATTTATTGATTGACTGATTGATTGATTGTTGCAAGGCCTGTGAAATTTTTGCCAGGGCAAGTAAAAAATTTAAACGACTGGCCAAACCAGGCCAGTAGAAAATGTCCTTAGCGTTGAGCCCTGTTAATACGATCAACATATGAAAACGCAGGTTACATAATGATATTTTAAAATAAAAAACTTAATATGTACTTGAAAAGAAAACAGGATGACTTTGAATAGCATCATTGTAAAATTATGAGGAAGAGCTGAACAAGTATTTCCTGTTCTGAGAGTGACGGATGTAACGGATCCCAAAAAAAGGTAGAAATGTATGTACAGTATGTGAAAGGAGAATGTATGTGAGTGTGTGAAAGCAGAAATGTATGTATGTGTGAAAGGAAAAATCTATGTGAAAGGAGAATGTATGTGTGTGTGAGAGTGCCAGAATGAATTATGGCTTGTACCACCCCTCATATTTATCCACATACTTACCTTAAACATTCCTGGGTATGTCAAATAACCAGCTTTCTGGAACACATGATGCGTGTTTTATTTTCAGCTTTTCTAAAATAGCAGACATGCTAGAAACCTAACTAAATACAGAAAAAAAGCTAAAAAAAAAAAGTGAACATTTCATTCAATGACCCATTTAATGGGTTGTGTTTCAGTCACTATTTCAAATTTGTTCCGTTGTCTGAAAACAGAAAAAATATCTAAATGAGAACAGTTTTTTGGGAATTCACTTGTTTTAAAATACAGTACCCAATGTGAGCTCCGAGAGTAGGAGAGAAGCAAACTGATGAACAGGTGATATTAGGCAAATGCAAATGTGATGCAGTGACATCGGTTTGCTAATTTAGTGACTTTTCCATTGAAAATAATTGGCAAGGGTGGGTAGAGTGCATACTGTTATTGTTTTGCTATTGTTTGTTGTTGTATTAGCATTTAATTCTTAGCATTTAGCATTCTAATATTTGCTATTTTTAACTAGTACAATCTTATAATTCAGTCATGTATCACAAGACATTAATTGTTGGACTGGAGTGCATGGATTACTTGTGGAGTATTGTTACGTTTTTAGCAGCTGTTTGGACTCTCAGTCTGATGGCACGAGGATCCCGTGTCAATGCATCTGGTTGTTTGTAGATTTTACTCCTCCCAAAATGGTGAAAAAATAAAGTTGTGAGCATGTTATACTGGACCAGATGTAGTCAAGTGTAAAATGGAACGTGTAAACTCAACTGGATAGCAATCCCATCAATCGTGAAGTGCACTGTAAAGTCTCAAATCCTCAGAACATTTAAAACAATTATGTTAGACCATAGGGAGATTTTAAACAAGCGATAAATGAAACATGAGTGCTTACTCTATTTCACCGGTCAATTCACTCCATATGTTTTTCTTCCTAAAGCTCATTTGAATTTGATCCAGATCACAAGACACTTATGGGGTCTGTTTCCTGATGAGAAAACAATAACCTTAAAACAATGCTGAATGCATTTCAACTCAAATTGAGAGAAATCATGCTCAAAAACAGGACTAAGTCCCTAAATGCAAATTAGCTGTTTTTATGCAAACCTCTCAGGCAAATACTCATAGGAAAATATGGAGTGGGCAACCAGTACCGACAGAACAACATTCTACAGATAACACATACAAGGATGTAGCTTGTTGTGTTTTTAGTTTTTATTGCATTTGCATTTGGATCTGTTTCTATATTAACAATGGTGCAATAAAATGGACAAACGATCTTGAAAGATGAAAACACAGATACCTTTAGCGTGAATTTTAGGTGATGCCGTTGCTATATTACGTGGATGCTGCAATTAACAAGAGAGAGAAAGTATATTCACCTTATTTTTTGACATAAAAGCGAGTGCAGTAATTTGTAATCTGAATGTGCGAGGCTTCCGGGTGTCATTCGCTTGTAGTTGTTTTAGCTGTAGAAAAAGTCCTTTATGCTGGTATGTGTTATCATATTATTTTAATGTGTTGTCCTAATCATGAACACATTGGTTTATAGCGCAAGTTTAAGGTTTACTGCACTTTGCTATTCTTCTAGCTATTTACCTATAGCAGCTAATGAATCAGAAGTGGGACATTTGCAGAAAATAGCTTACTTCTGTGGTGGATACATAAGCTGACGACTTTTTGTTCAAGAATAGAAACGAATATATCATTTTCTCAAAAAATAAAATGACAACAGAGTATTGACTCTTTATTGGCACTACAATGTAGTTAGTTACAATATTGATCCAGTAAACATGCAAAGGTGAAGGACTAAGGACACTTTCTGGTGACAATGGTGACTTTGCAGGCCTGTTGATTTTAAACAATATAATACAAATCTGACACTTATATAAATAAGTCATATGCAGGATACACCATCAACCGCTATTAAAAATATCTACCTCAAGCAAAAAAAAATTCTACCTCAAGCAAAAATGAACTGCAGTTTAATTCTGTGCAGTAACGCAGGTGATTTACAGGAACTGCAACACTTGTTTTCAGTTCACTTGTTAATGTGCTATCCCAGCAAACAAAGTAAGAACACTTAGCTAACATTTCCATTATGTTATGAAGACATTATTTCTGAATGAACACTACTTTTGAATGTTCTAAAAATAAGTAATGACATTTAAAAATGTTGAAATATGAAATCCCAGCATAACCTGTTTGCTAAACTGTAAATCTGTTGAGTTTTATAAACTAAAGTTTCAGCAACCTTCATTCAGCTTTAATATTTAGCAGCGTACACTTTTGTATGATTTACATATGAAAATTATGTATGATCCACTTATGAAAAACAGGAAGTACTTAGTGTAACACTATCCTTTTCACACTCCTGATCCTGAGATCATTACCAGTTACCCGCATTAACATCTCAAATGATTTTTAGTAACCAGTTCCAAATATTACTTCATGCGTACAAATTAAATTTCATGAAAAAAACATTTTGGAGTGGATATTGAAGGAGAAGAAAGTCAAACCCAGTCAACCAGTTCTCAGTGAACAGACCTTGAAATTAGACAAAGAAAAGGCTCAGATTTCAGTTTAGATAATATGTTTGATCACTATATAATTATCATTCTTCCATCTGTGTTCTTTTATAGCTTTAATGACTTTGGAAGCTTATTTCCACCACGGACTAAAAGATTAAAAAGGTAATTGCAACTTTTTTTTGGTATCTTGCAATTCTGAGTTTATATCTTGCAATACTGGGTTTCTATCTCACAATTTACAATTCTTTTTTCTCTCTCATGATTTAGAGTGAAAAAAAAGTCAGAATTGTGAGATATAAACTTGCAATTGCAAAAAAACAAAAAAAAAACATGATTGCAACAAAAAGTCACAATTTTTATTTTGTGCAACAAAAAAAGAATATAGACTCAGAATGATGAGAAAAAAGTTTCAAGAGATTTAAACTGAAAAATCTGAGAAAATAGGTCAGAACTGCAAGAAACAAAGTCTAAATTGTGAGATGTAAAATCAGAATAGTGAAGAAAAAAAATTCAGAATTTTGAAAAGTAGCAATAGTTTTTTTTATTCCATGGTAAGTAGATCCAAACCTTTGATTCATAGAGTAAATAAAAAAAATCCAATGATTAATAAGGTGTGAGGAATGGCACGTTTCACCTGAAATGCTCCTTAGTATTTGATGCATTTCAGATGGTTCTTGAAAAAATGGTGGGTCATTTTCGCCTCTGAATCACTTTTGGGAGGATGCCTGTAGGAACCGTACTTGTTCGTGGGACTGTGTTTTTGGTGACCAATTGTGAGACCTTTGCAGGTGACAACTAATAACTCTCCAAGTCCGTCAACGAAGAATTCTGTACATAGTTGGGAATATAAAATGAAAACAGATTCTTGTTTTTATTCTTGTTGATCCAACGCTTGTTATCTCAGCTGGCATGTCTATGGATTGTTCACCATGGATCATGAATCAGCTCTATTCACATTTCTCAGTTTGTCAGTTGTCATAAACTATTGTTCTTGGACAATAAATCAAGATAGTTTGTATTGTCTGTACTAGACCAATGCTTTGAATTACCTAAGACCTAAACCTGGATATAATTAATCATTTCACAACAATGGATGAATATAATATATGTCAAAACATATTGTTTCACTTTAGGCAGGTCTTTTCGGGATACTTTAGTAATAGATCTCATCTAAAACAAATCGGTGACTTCATCTGATCTGATCTGAGGTCCACTCACCAGTGTGAGCCACTCTTTTGAGGAACGGGTCAAAACCGACCCTCCGCACAGCCTCCGTCCGGCCCAGGAAATAGTTGACGACTCCATCTGCAAAGAAGCAGCCGTTGAAACCTGGGAGTGGCGCATGGGTACGACTGACACGCGTGATACAGCCGCCTTCCTCACTGTTGCCTTCCTGGTATTGCAGCTGGAAGGCAAACTGATTTCCTCCTACCTGACCACCAACCTGATGGGGGAGAGAGAGAATGAAAGAATAAACTACAAAAAGAAAAGAAGGTCAAAATCAGCCAAGGTCTTTCACAAACATAAAAATAAGATCTCAATCTTTATCAGATATATTTATTGGACACATTATAGATCTCTATTGGGTTGAACAATATACTTTAGTGAACTATAAACATTTATTGCACATGCACATGTGAAACAGTCCATAATTCACAGGTATAATAACTCGCCGTTAATAATAACTCACAGGACCAAAAGTGACAGTAAAAGACATTTTTAATGGTAAAAAAGATTTAGATTTCAAATAAATGCTGTTATTCTATTCATCAAAGAATCCTGAAAATAAATATACCACAATTTCCATGGTAATATTAGGCAGCACAACTGTTTCAATATTGATTATGATATAAAAAGTTTCTTGAGCAGCAAATCAGCATATTAGAACGATTTCTGAAGGATTATCACTGCAAAAAAATACTTTTCTTACTTAGATTTTTTGTCTTGTTTCCAGCCACAATATCTAAAAATTCTTAAATCAAGAAGGATTTTCTAGACAAGTACAAATTATTGTCTTGTTTTCAGAAAAAAACTATCAAAATTAAGTGAGTTTTTGCTTAGAACAAGCAAAATAATCTGCCAATGGGGTAAGCTAAATAATCTAATTTCAAACAGAAAACAAGATTATTTTGCTTACCCCATTGGTAGATAATTTAGCTTGTTTCACGCAAAAACTCACTTAGTTTTGATATGTTTTTTCTGAAAACAAGACAATAATTTTTACTTGTCTAGAAAAGCATTTTTTTGCAGTGATGTGACACTAAAGACTGGAAAAAATCAGCTTTGCATCACAGGAACATATGACATATGAAAATAGATTATTTTAAATTGTAATAATATTACTGTTTTACTGTATTTTTATCAAATAAATGCAGCCTTGGTGAGCAGACAGCCTTAAAAAAAAAATTTTTTTTGACATAATTACCACATCTAGTTCAGGAACGGCTTCCATAATGTTCACAAAGCTCTCAATGCGCGTCTCATTGAGGAACACAAAGTCATCATCCACCCACAGGAAGTACTTAGTGGTGACCTGTGACACTGCCAGATTTCTGCCTGCAAACCAGCCCTGAAAAGCCAAACAATGAAAGCAGGTAACCTTAACACGTCAAGAAAATTACATTAACATTCAATTTGAAAAACCTGACGTTTGTACCTGTGCCGGGGGCATTATGTAGTGCTCTATATTGTCACCGACCACCTTCTCTGGGTTCAGACTGTCATCAGCAACAATGATCTTTATTTTTGGGTAGTTCAGACGGATACTGTTGATGAGGACGTTTAGTTCTTTGTATCGTAGAAATGCTTTAATTAGCACAGTCACCTGAGTGTTCACATCTACAGAGAGAGAGTGGGAGACAATTATGTGCCCATAACAGACTGTGTTCACATGATACATATACAGTGATTACACTGTAATACTAATCAAAAAGACAAAAGTGCATAACAAAATCACTAAAACTAAAATGAAAACTGAATATATAAAAAGAAATGCTATTCAAAATATTAATAAAAACTATAATAGTACATAAATGATACTAAAATAACATGTTTAGAAGCATACACTGCACTCTAAAAACTGTGTGTAAAAAATGTTAGTAAAAAGTGCTATGGTCCAAACTTGGTGATTGGTTAACAAAAGTTTCCTTACTATATATGGTGAAAAACTGTAAAAAATCTAATCGGATGTTTCATGTAATTTTAAAAAACTGTTTTTGGAAGTGAAAAAGAAGAAGTGTCACCCAGAATTCCCTCTATGACACTTCGCATTTAATGGTTAAACAATTGTTTCTACTTAGTTTGTGTAATCAATTATGTACATTTAGGTTTTCTGTTACAACTTATGTTGCTAAATTAATGTTTTTGCATAATATTCATGTCATGTTTGTTACAGTGTTTTGTATTAGTGTGCATGAACTTTGACTCGTTATATGGCTTTCTCAATATGACTTGTGTTTTGGTGTATATTAACTTTATATCATTTAATAAAATGTACTGTATTTTACTGTATGACCTAACAATGTGGCTGTCATATTTTTAAAGGTAGAGTTCAACCACAGCTGCTGGTTTCTTACCATACATTTCACAGATTATTATTATTGTTATAAGTAGTATTTTTTATTTATTTATTTAATTTAATTTTTACTATGTAAAATATTTTTTCTTTTTTTACAGTGCAAGTATGAGTATTTGAGCTCACCTTTTCCTGGGTCAAACAGAACAGGAACTGACAAACGTCTGATCTCAATCGGGAATATGACCTCATTGTTCTCAAAAGAGAAGTACGCTAAGGACATGAATGCATGTGTAAAGTCAGTACATTCAGATTAATGCTTAACTTAAAAAGTATATGAGGATAATTTTAACTGAATAATTGTATCATAAAAGTTGTCCATGTGTGACTCATTATATTCCAAGGGCTTGTCCAGTTACCCACATTTGCGGTCTTGGCCATTTGAGAGCATGTGCACGCAACTGGAACTAAAGCACCAAAGTGCAGCGCCCTTAATGCACACTAAATCCACACCATTTTGAATACTGCTCTGGAGCGGTGTTTGAGACTAAGCGTATCCCATTGTGCATCACGTTCTGGAAATAAATCGTGAGACTTTTGCAGAGATCTCGCAAGGGGTTGCAGAAATGAATAATAAATCAATATTTCATATAATTTGGTATAATTAGTTAGTCAGGTCCAATGTTATTTGGAACCTAAAATTCTTCAAAAAAATCGGTGTTCTGCACAAGAAGTCTAAACCGGTTTAGAATGACATGAGAATAAACGATGATAAAAAATTTAGATGAACTATTCCTTTAGGTCACAGGCTACGTACCGAGGTCTTCGGTCTTGATGTGGTAGATGGTGCTGGTGTAGGTCAGTCTGCTCAGCAGGTCGTTGAGCTGTTGGAGACTGCTGGATGAGATGCTCAGATGTTTCTCATTCTGGCCATCCACCTGCTCTCCTTCCTGGACATTCATCACTGAAAGCACTCCTTTCTGCACCCTTAGAGAAACCTGGAGAGGTTTCATATCATTTGAGCTCATTTTATACACTTCACACTTGATGACTCCTTTTAAAAAAAACCACCCATATTGAAGGCAGGGTAGGTGATTTGGTTCAAAAACATGCTGGTTGAAAGTCTCTTCACGTCCCAATAGCAATCAATAAGTTAAGTGGTCTAAATGTATTTAATTGTTTTATATCGTCTGTGGAAGTAGGGCGTAGGACCATAAAATGTTCGTCCAATCATATCCATTGGTCTGAGGGCTACGATAGGCTGTCCTACCTGCCTGTCAACATATGTATTTGCATACCTCCATGCACCCTGTTCGCACAGACATAATACGCCATCAGCATGTTCCATTGCCCCAAGCGAGAATTTGTAGGGACAGAGAGTAATTTGCTGGGAGGGTGGGATCTTATGCTTTCAAAGCTAGCTTGCTATTGCTAGCCTCTACAAAATCACCTACCATACCTTTAACAGCTTTGGATCAAAAGCTCACAAAGCATAAATTAAAAGAAGGAAAAACCCCAATACAGAGACTGTCTGAAACCAAACCAATGATTGAGATCGATATAGCATAAAACCCACCACCTTTATTTAGTGAGAACAGCATATTCAGCAGGACAAACCTTGTAAAACGCTCTCTTTTGTGTTTGCAGAACTAGACCTTTAATAATGATACATTTCTTTAATTAATGAAACACAAAGATTAATAAAACAACGGACAGTCTTATATTGAAGGGGATTGAAGGAATTGATGAACAGAACATTCAAAAGAGCAGCATTTATTTTAAATGGACATCTTTTTTAACATCATAAATGTTGTTACTTTCACTTTTAACTAATCAATTTAATACATCCTTAATGAATTAAACAATTACTTTCCCTAAACTATTTAATGGCAGCAAATCAGCATATTAGAATGATTTCTGTAGGATCATGTGAATAACAATAAGATTGCATTTAAAAATCTGAGCGGTAGTGTATGTCTCTCTGTAACCTTCTGGAGATGCATTTAAGAAACCTGAGATCATTAGCAATCAAATAAAGGATAGACAGAAATCAGAATCACCAGGAATGAGTGTTTTATTCATGGGAGTCACTCTGAATCCTCTCATCGGATACTGGAGCGGGGTGTTGGCCGGGGCGAGAAGAAGAACATCATTTTCTTTCCCTGATCTGAAAGACACATGCCATTTTTTAAGCAGTTCATTCAGACTCAGAGAAATGACTGCATTTGTGCCACACTGAAGAGATCTGAGCAATTGTGAGTAACCTGATCTGGTGTTGTCTGAACTCCTCTGCCCGGCGTTTCTGCAAGTCATCCAGCTCATCTTTTGACACAAACTGGTTTGCTGGCATAGTGTTTTGGCAGTTACAGGGTGTTGGATTCTCATTGGGAAAAGGCCCAATACTGAGACGTGTAACAAGCAACAGATGAAAATCAGAAACAAGGAAGTCACTGCTTCAGGGTTGCTCATAAAAATTAAAGAATCTACTTACTTTGGTTTGGGAAAGTCTGGGATCTCTGGATCACGGTTGCAATTTGAGAATCTTGAGAAAGTTGTGTGAGTGGGGGGGAAAAAAATATTTGAGTACAGTTTGCATGGACTTATTGTCTGTAACCAAATAAAACTTAAGCAGGAGTGAATCGTATCAAATATCTTCCCACACCAGAATTAAATCCCTTTTGTGGTATGTTAAAGACGTTAAGCGTTACCTGTAAGAGTTAACTGTAACATTTTTATTTGTAGTCTTTACACTCTGAAACTCCTGGGTTAAAACTGCCTAATTTGGGCTGTTTTTAGCCCAGCACAGGCTGGGTAAATATGATACAGAATGTATGTTGGGCTAACCCAAAGACTTTAGATATACAAAGACGGTACACAAATATTACTAAGAATGGGAGAAAGTGCAATGCGCAATATGGCGGAATAAGTTCTGCCTTCTAAATAAGGAGCAGTTCAGTTTTTTGGTTTCACTCAAAGTCTGTTTAGTACCTTTGTAATACACTGATAACCACCAAAGTCAGGTAGTGATGACAAAGACACATGATGAACCAAAGCTCATCACAATCAGCTCTTCCACAAGCTGAGAAAAAAAATACTAATATATATATAGAAGATGCACAATGTCATTCACACAAATACCAAACATCATCATGGTAACACACATGATACTGAAATAATGCAATAAACATTAATTTAACAACATTAGATGTAACATACAACCGTAATTAACATAACTGGTAAGAAAAAACTAAGAAGAAACATAGTTATTTTAACAAAAAAATATCAAATGTGAAATGTAACACAGGGAATTCTGGGAAAGTCAATTTATGATTTTTCCCTGTAAACTATACATTCTTTTTCTCTTCCAAAAACTGAATTTTACCATAAAATTACATTAAATGTCCATTACAGTTTTTCAGTCTTTTACCATTAAAATCACAGTCATTAGCATTCAGTCATCTGGAAAAAAAGCAGGCAAAGCAGGGGTTTTTCAAATTTTAGAGGAAAAAAAGATTTAAAAAGTATTTTAACAGTAAAAGCCAAATATGCATATAATTTAAAATATACACACACACACACACACATATATATATATATATATATATTTCCAAATAAATAGATTATGATCCACAAATAAATGTAAAGAGATTAACAAAAATTAAACATATTGACAAATAAATAGAATGAGATCCACAAATAAATGTTAAAGTTTCACAAACATTAATTAAATTCACAAATAAGTAAAATGAGATTTGCAAATAAAAAACATATTCACAAATATATATTTATGTCACAACCACAACTTTGCCTGGCATTTATTTGTGAATCGCGTCCTGTGCATTTGCGAATTGTGAAACATTTCTTGCGTCAAGACTCGTTATAAGGAGAAAACAAGAAGGAAAAAAAATATAATGCATGGCCGCTTAGAACTTCCGTACCTATTTGAGTCAATGCAGATGAATGAAGTTATCTCAGGAGAGACCGCCCTGGTTGTAAAGCAAAACGTGATTGGCTATAGCGAGATTAAGCAACAATTCTATCTCCTTACGAGCGTCCCGAGGGCAGATCAGCGTCGCCAAGGAAACGCTGCTCCTGCACTAATCACCGACTGCGAACACCTGAGCATAATGGCCAGCACACCTGGAGCTCGTTGGCAACGGCTTTAAAACTGGGAGGGAAAACACACTTAAACCCTATTCGCACGGGATTAGTATTACCTGGTGACCTCCTGTCATTTGTAATAATTGCGGAGGTTGTTCGTGATCTTAACCCCGTGCGTATCGGCCATGCATGTAATTTGTAAAGTAAAAATTCCCCCGCAAATGACCTACCATATTTCGCCGAACACGGAGGTCCTGTGATAATATTAGTCCCGTGTGATTCGGCCTGCATTTGGCAGGTCGTATATCATTTTTCGAGGTTTTTGTTTGCTGTGCGCCTTTTTATCCATCTTCCGCGAAGAATGGAGCTGCGTTGGAGTGTTTGATAGTATTCTGGGTGCTGTCATCATATCGCTACACCATACAATTACCTTTTAAAGCTCAAACTAAGACTGTTGTTTTAAGCCCTATTCACACGGTATTAGTATTACCTGGTGACCTCCAGTCATTTGTAATAATTGCGGAGGTTGTTCGTGATCTTAACCCCATGCGTATCGGCCATGCATGTAATTTGTAAAGTAAAAATTCCCCCGCAAATGACCTACCATATTTCGCCGAACACGGCACGGAGGTCCTGTGATAATATTAGTCCCGTGTGATTCGGCCTGCATTTGGCAGGTCGTATATCACTTTTCGAGGTTTTTGTTTGCTGTGCGCCTTTTTATCCATCTTCCGCGAAGAATGGAGCTGCGTTGGAGTGTTTGATAGTATTCTGGGTGCTGTCATCATATCGCTACACCATACAATTAGCAGAAAGAGAAAGCTGAAAAGGTTTTGAGGTTAATGTGTTACAAATAAATCAAGCACAAAGCTTGAAATATTATTTTAACCTGGTGAAATATAAATGACACAGTGCACGAAACTATATTAGTTTCTTTTTTTTTTTTTTTTTAAAAAGGGGGGGTAATTCAAAATCACACAAGGTCCCCAGATAATACTAATCCGCGAGTAACATGCTTCCTGGAAGAGAGACTAATGAGTGTTTTCTCTCCCTCTGTACAGAGACTGACTGAGCTCCTGGCCGTTTTCCACACTTCACGGAAGATCACCCTCCGGGGATTTGTGCTGTTAAAAATCCATCTTCTGTGTCTGTGTCCTGATTCACCCCGCTACAATATATATATATATATATATAGACACACACACTAAAATCACAGGCTTTGCTTATCCCGTGCGAATGCACCACATGAAATTCAGATGTAAGAGGGAGGGGGGGGGTCCCCTCACACAAGGTCCCCAGATAATACTAATCCGCGAGTAACATGCTTCCTGGAAGAGAGACTAATGAGTGTTTTCTCTCCCTCTGTACAGAGACTGACTGAGCTCCTGGCCGTTTTCCACACTTCACGGAAGATCACCCTCCGGGGATTTGTGCTGTTAAAAATCCATCTTCTGTGTCTGTGTCCTGATTCACCCCGCTACAATATATATATATATATATAGACACACACACACACAGTATATATTTAAATAATATAAATGGGCCGCATTAATGCAAGCCCACACTCTTAGACGAAAAGATATAGAACCCAAATGAACCTTTTTTTTCTAAGAGTGCAGGGCCCCGGGCTGAGGGGGGCCCCCGGTGATGCCGGAAAATATTGTAACCGCATTTTATGAGTTGACTGTTCCCAAGAAATTACGCTTTATAGGTTTGCTTTGAGTGCACTTGCGGGCTAGGGGTCATTACCAAGCGTCAGTATGCGAGAAGTTGGGAGTGAGAATGTGTTGGCTATATCTTTCACTTTTGTTAGAGTAAATACAGCTGAATAAAACAAAAACTGCCCGCCTTCATTTCATCATACATTTCTAAATGTTCATTTTTTTAACCATCATTTCGTCTCTGTCTGTCTCTTGAGCCTTTTGCTGACAGAAAATGGTTTTCAGAAAATACTTTACTGCTTTCAGGCTTAATTCTGACCGCTTTCGGATCGCAGACGCAGACAAAGCTTAAACTATTTCTATACCAGGAAGAACTCTTCTCACTGTAAACGAAAATTAATTTTTTGCTGTCTAACAACTTCCTTGTATGTGCAATAAGTTTTATTGTGCTTTAGCTTTTCATCATGCATTGTTGTTTTAGCTTGTCCCTATAATGAATATAATGTCCCTGGAATTAATATGAAATGTATTAAATAGTATGAAAAACATTGAATTATTGACACTGACTCTCTAGTATTCTGATAATAACGAGGAAAAGGAGTACACTGTTTAAGAGTCCATATACACAAAATATTTCTACGTTATATTAAGCATAAATTTTCAAATCCTTTATTTAAAAATGTGCAAAATGTATTTAATATTATTGGATACTTATTATATAAGTCAGATTATTATATATTATTATAAGTCATTATAATATTATAAGTCAGAAATATGATTTTATTTGACTGAATCTAATCGGGGGGAAAAATTGTCACGACAATAAAAAAATGATTTTAACGTTCACTGATGTACGAGGCACTTACCTTATTGTCGGTAGTGTAGTTTTACTCCAAACGTCCCCGTCAATATAAAATAACGCGGAAAGAAAGCCAATTAAAAGAATGGCGATAAATACAGTTATGCGGGATCTGTACATGATTAAATCTGTCGCGATTAGAAACAATGTAATATATTTATTTATAGGCGGTCTATATCCACATCAAAATTAAGTGTTGAAACTCAAAATACGCTAATAAGCGTCAAAATACAGCCATTAAAGATACCGTGGATGTCACCTGTTGAAGAGGAACAGGTGAATGAAGGGAGTGACAGATTCTAGAGGACGGATATGTGGCTGTTTGGAGGTACCAAATCAGCGATCGCATTTTTTTGTATAAGAAAATTTTTCACAGATCATTTCTGTAATTTTGGGGGGTCTTGCTAAATTGGCAAGTGTGCTTCGTGCATCCACTTTAACAGCACAAAGAGAGCCAATTTATCATCACCGAACTGTGTATGTATGGAAGCCCGTTTCTGCCACTGAATAAAAAATATATAATTCTGTAAGTCATAATAATGATAATAATAATAATAATAATAATAACTTTCTCAAAATGATGACTTAGTATCTCGTTATAATGAGAAACTTTCTCGTAATAATGACTTAGTTTCTCGAAATAATGACTTATTTTCTCATAATAATG